GAGGATGATGATAATGATGTTGATGATGATGCTGCTGCTGATGCTGCTGATGATGATGATGACGATGATGATGATGATGATGATGATGATGGTGATGATGATGATGATGTTAAGAATGCTGATGCTGATGCTGCTGCTGGTGCTGGTGCCAGTGCTGATGCTGATGATGATGATGATGAGGTTGATGGTGATCTTGATGGTGATGGTGATCATGATGATGGTGATGATGATCATGCTGCTGCTGCTGATGATGATGATCCTTATGTTTGTGTTGATAATGATGGCGATAATGCTGCCGATGATGATGATGATGATGATGATGATGATGATGATGATGATGATGATGATGCTTATGTTGAGTATGATCTTGTTAATGCTGACGACGATGCTGATGCTGCTGCTGCTGATGATGATAAGTTTGCTGTTATTGACGAGGATGCTGCTGCTGCTGATGATGATGATGATGATGATGAGGATGGCGACGATGTCGATGAGGAAAACGGCAGCGATGATGATATTGATGAAGATGCCTATAGTAGTGTTTTTGATGGTGATTGACGATGATGTTGATGACGATGGTGACGACGACGATGCTGATGATGATGATGATGCTGATTATGCTGCTGCTGATAATGATGATGTTGATGATGGCGATGATGCTGCTGATGATGATGCTGATCATGATGATGATGATGCTGATGATGATGATGACGAGGTGACGATACTGATCATGCTGATGATGTTCATGATGATGCTGCTCATGCCGCGGCTGCTTTTGCAACTGCTGCTGCTGCTGGTGCTGCTGACGACGACAATGACGACGATGATGACGATGATGATGACGATGCTGATGATGATGATGATGCTGATGATGATGATGATGATGATGATGATGGTGCTGCTGACGATGATGCTGCTGATGATGATGACGATTATGATGATGATGATGATGATGCGAATGCTGATGCTGATGCTGCTGCTGGTGCTGGTGCTGGTGCTAATGCTGATGATGATGATGATGTTGATGGTGATCGTGATGGTGATGGTGATTATGATGATGGTGATGATGATGATGATGATGCTGATCATGATGATGATGAGGATGGTGATGTTGCTGATGCTGATGCTGGTGCTTGTGCTAATGATGATGCTGATGATGATGATGATGCTGATACTGATAATGACACTGATGATGATGATGATGATGATGATGATGATGATGAGGATGATGATGATGATCATCATGATGAGATGATGATGATGATGCTGATGATGATGATGATGAGCATAATGATGATGAGGATGATGATGATGATGATGACGATGATGATGATGATGCTGATGATGGTGGTGGTGGTGGTGGTTGTGATGCTGATGATGATGCTGATAATGCTGATGCTGATGCTGATGCTGATGCTGATGCTGATGATGATGATGATGATGATGCTGATGATGCTGACGATGATGATGATGATGATGATGATGATGCTGATGATGATGATGATGATGATGATGATGATGATGATGATGCTGATGATGATGATGATGATGATGATTTGGAGGAGGAGGGGGGGAAGAGGAAAAGGAGGAGGAGGAGAAGGAGGAGGAGGATGAGGAGGAGGAGGAGGAGGAGGAGGAGCGAGGAGGAGCGAGGATGAGGAACAGGACCAGCAGGATAATGAAGACGAAAGAGGAGGATTGTCTTGTCCTCCAGCGGCCTCCGACGCCCAGCTGGAAAACGATTTGATCACCCAACCCTGCATCCTGCATCGAGTTTTCTTCGGGAGTCGGAGTAGGAGGGGGAGGAGGAGGAAGAGGAGGAGGAGGAGGAGGAGGAGGAGGAGGAGGAGGAGGAGGAGGAGGATGTAGAGGAGGAGGAGGAGGAGGAGGAGGAGGAGGAGGAGGAGGAGGAGGAGGAGGAGCAGGAGGAGGAGGAGGAGGAGCGACACCTTTCGTCTTGACTTCTCGAGGAGCCACTCATCTGGGCCGTCTTGGGGCTGGCCTGGGCTCCTGTGGGGCATTCTTGCGGGCCCCTCGGGGCCCTCTTGGGCCGCCTTGGGGCTTTCGTGGGGCCTTCATGGCTGTCTGGGCATTCTCTTTGGCCGTCATGTCGGCGTTCCCCCAACATACCTATACTATGTGTTCGTCGCCCCCCCAGGGGCGACGCGCGCACTGAGAAATCTTTTAGTATATGCGTCGTGGCGGGCGCTTTCTGGCCACACCGCTCGAGAAACGATATACTACAAGATGGGTATACTATGTGTTCGGGTCGGACGCGCGCCTCCAAGGCGGAAATATAGTATTAGTATGTCTCTGTGCGTCCCATCATGGGGTCGTGTTGGGCCGTCGAGGGGTCCTCTGAGGCGGTCTTGGGTCCCTCAGGAGGCCCTTTTTCGGCTGGCTTGGAAGCCTCTTGGTCAGTCTTGAGGCTTTCTTGGGCCGTCTTGGAGTCATCGTGGGGCGTCCTGGAGGCATGTTAGACCATCTTGGCGGTCTTGGTAGCTTGCCTTCGTATTGGAAGCCATCTTGGGCATTTTGGATGACTTGGAGGGCGCCAGTGAGCCGTCTGGCAGCCCAGGAAGCCTCGGGAGGGAGGGCGTGTCCTTCAGAAGGCTACAGTAACCCTGCCAGACTGAACTGGGCATGTTCTCAAGTCTCAACGTGCCAGGGTGTTCGGTGGCGGATGACTACAGCGTGTCGCAGAGCTCTGTCGAGATTCCGCAATGGGCATACTGTACTGTACTCAACCGAGCTCAATTCAGTTCATATGAAAGTTGTTCATGGGCATACTGTACTGATGCCAGCCTCGCATACTTGAACGTGTACGTGAAGCATTTAGGGCGAGCAGGGTTTGCCGTCGGAGGTCTGCTGGGTGAAGACGACCACCTCTGGGGCCACCCGAGGGGCAGAGGGTCCTGGGGACCATTCAGGTTCACCCTTGGTCCTCTCCCGCAGGTCAAGATCTGGACCTGCGGAGGTGGCCTCCCGGGCGGGGCAAGACCTGGACCTGCGTGGTCCAGGCTTTCGCCCAGAGCTGGTCTGAGACCTCGCCTGCCTGGGACGGCCCGAAGCTGCAGATCTGGCCAGAGAGGTCCAGACCTGGACCTCTGCGGAGGAGGAGGAGGAGGAGGAGAAGGAGGAGGAGGAGGAGGAGGAGGAGGAGGAGGAGGGGGAGGGGGAGGGGGAGGGGGACTCCCCCCCCGGCAGGTCCAGAGATCTGGACCCGCCAGGGCGCCAGGGGCTCCGGCGCCACGACGGCCCGGCCCCGCTCCGCCCATGGCCCCCGCCGAGTCCAGGTTTGGACATGCTTCAGGAGGGGAAAAAACACACAGACACAATTAATCGGCGATTCCCAGAAAATATGGGAAAATATGGGAAGTGGGGGGGAAGACAAAAACCCAGAAAATATGGGAAAATATGGGGATATTTTTATTTGTGTGTATTTATTTGTGTGTCCCAGTTCCCCTTCAATGCTGTGGGACGGACACACCAGCAGGCCCAGATCCGCCTGTAGGAGGACTTGCCCGACCTAGGCCCAGATCGAAACCCGTGGGCCAGAGGAAGGCAAGGTGCCCACACCTCTGCCCTTCCCTCGTTTCCCCCTCTTACCTGGGCCTCCCGGGAGGCCCTCGTCGCCGCCGCTGGACTCGCGTCGAAATCCTGGTCGGAGCGCACCCCAGGAGAGGTCCAGGGAGTAGCGGTATCAGCTTTTTCTGGTTTCCCCAGTGGTCTCCAGGCTCGAGCCCCGCGCCGGCTCGGCCCGACGGGCTCCTGGGCCCCACGGGTCCAGGTCTAGATTTAAGCAGGGCCTAGATTCCAGTCGGGCCTGTCCCTTTACAGGAGGAATATTCAAGGATAGTAAAAACAGTCTGGTGACGATTTATCGTTTTTTTTTTTTTTTTTTTTTTTTTTTTTTTTTTTTTTTGTTTTTAGCATTTTTTGACTTTTCTTTATTTTTCCTCAGAGATCCGCCCGTAGGAGGACATGCCCGATCTTACGCCTGGATCGAAGCCCGTGTGCTCCGGGCTCGCGCCCCGCGCCTGCCTGGCCCGACGGGCTCCCACGGGCCCCACGGGCCCATATGTCTATAGTCTTCTGGGGCGGGGCCCAGCAGGTCTATAGATCTCTGGACCCGCGGTCCCTCCACGCCAGCCCCCTCAGACCTGCCCGGCTCGGTCTCTCCGGCCCCCCGCGCCGGCCTGGCCTCGCGCGGGCTCTCCTGGGGCTCCACACGGGCCCAGAGATGTCCAGGCCTGCTGGTAATTTGGACCTGCCTGGCCCGGTCTCCTGCCCCGTGCTGGCCTGGCCTCTCCCATGGCCCAGGCCCGTGGGGGGGCCAGCAGGTCTAGAGATTCCCCCTCCGCCCCCCTGGCAGGTCTGCTGGGGGAGGCGGACCACCAAGGCGTGAGCACTCCTCCGCAGGCATGTGCGACGCACACGGAGCTCTGTGAGCTTCTGCACTCCGCTGGTCCCAGTCGTTTCACGGCCTCTGTTGCAGTGGCATCTCTCGAGCCACCAGGGAAGGGCCACCCCCCACTCGTGACTGAGCTCTGGGAGCTTTCGCACCCAGATGGTCCCAGTCTTAGAAGCCCGCTTCACGGCATCTGTTGCGGTGGCATCCTTCTGGCCACCAGGGAGGGGAGCCTCCAAATCTGTGTGATCCAGCCACGGGGCAACTCGCTGGGCCCAGGATTTCCTTCGGCCTCCCTGACAGAGGGATCCTTAGCCAACAGCTTCTGAAGCCCAGCCAAGCATCGGGCCGCGCAGACAACCATGGGTGGCGAAGAGCCCAACTGCGTGCTGGTGTGATCCCAGAGAGAGACGCTCACGAGGACTTGGCCGCTCCTCTGGATGTGTATGGGCGATGCGCACGGAGCTACACGAGCTTGGGTGCTTGCACGGTCTCTCCTCTCCTCTCCTCTCCTCTCCTCTCCTCTCCTCTCCTCTCCTCTCCTCTCCTCTCCTCTCCTCTCCTCTCATCTCCTCGTTTCTTTCCTCAGGATTCCGCTGGAACGGGTCGCTGAGCTCGGTGCAGAACTCCGTGTACGAGGCGCACTTGGGGGGGCAGCGGGCGGGCCTGGGTGGCGGTGGCCAGGAAGTGCCTTCTCTTGCTGCTTCTGTCCCTGCTCCTTCCATAGCGCCGTCCTATGCTGTGGGGCGCAAGAACAGATATGACTGCTGATGTTCCCTCCCGCTCACCTTCCTTTCCGCCGCAGCCACCCTTGACGCGGCAGCGCTTTCGGTCCCAGCCCCACGGCTGCGGCGATGCCAGGGGCGGAACGACGACGACGACGATGACGACGATGACGACGAGGACGACGAGGACGACGAGGACGACGAGGATGACGACGACGACGAGGAAGGCGAGGACGACGAGGACGGCGACGAAGACGGTGACGAGGAAGTCGAGGACGATGACGAGGAGCTGTTGCCGTGCCTTGGGACCGTCGGAGGCAGTTGCTCCTCCTCCTCCTCCTGCTCCTCCTCCTCCTCCTCCTCCTCCTCCTCCTCCTCCTCCTCCTCCTCCTCCCCCCCCTCGTCGTTGTCATCCTGCCGCTCCTCCTTCTCCCTCGCCCTCCTCTTCCCTGTCCTTCTGCTCCAGTCCTTCTTCGCCTCCTCCTTCTCGCTCTTGCCACCGTCGTCGTCGTCCTCCTCCCCCTTTTCTTCTTCCGCCTCCTCTTTTTCTTCCTCCTCCTCCTCCTCCTCCTCTTCCTCCTCCTCCCTTTGGTTAAGGACATTCGTATTATTAGTCTTTAAAGCAATAACACTACCACTCGTACTAGCACTATTGGTCGTACTAGTAGTATCATGCATACACATAATATACTGATGCTACTAATAAGACAATTCAGAGTAACAGGTGGCACGTGTGCTATGGCTCTTGCACAAAAAGGAAGGGGGGGGGGAGGAGGAGGTGGAGGAGGAGGGGGGAAGAGGGGGCAAGGCATCGCCCCTCGGGGCCCAGCAGCGGGGCCCACATTCCAGGTGGGGAGGGGGGGGAGGTGGCGTGCGTCGCGACTCGGAATAAAGTGCTCGGGGCGGAGGGGGGCACGAGGCGGAGCCCCCGCTGGGTCGCCGGGGACGCGGGGAGGGAGGTGGGGGAGGTGGTGTGCGTCGCGACGCGGAATACAGCGTTCGTGGCGGAGGGGGCAGTGGACGGGACTCCCGCTGGGGTGCTGGGGGCGCGGGGGGGGGGCAGAGGGCCTCGGCGCGGGGTCCCACTCTGGCGCTGGCGATGCGCGGGTGGACGACGGAATGAAGCATTCGTAGCGGAGGGGGCAGTGGGCGGGGCCCCGCTGGGGCGCTGGGGACGCGGGGGGGCTCGGGGCAGAGAGCCACGGCGCGGGGGTCCCAGTCGACGCGGCGGGAGGGGGGGGCGGGGTGTGCGACGCGGAATAAAGCGTTCGTGGCGGAGGGGGCAGTGGGCGGGGCTCCTGCTGGGGCGCTGGGGACGCGGGGAGGCCTCGGGGCAGAGAGCCACGGCGCGGGGGTCCCACTTTGGCGCTGGGGACGCGGGGGGGGGAGGCGACGCGGCATAAAGCGTCGGCGGAGGGGGCAGTGGGCGGGGCCCCCGCTGGGGCGTTGGGGACGCGGGGGGGCTCGGGGCAGGGAGCCACGGCGCGGGGGTTCCACTTTGGCGCTGGGGACGCGGTGGGGGGGAGGGGTGCGCGACGCGGAATAAAGCGTTCGTGACGGAGGGGGCAGTGGGCGGGGCTCCCGCTGGGGCGCTGGGGACGGGGGGGGGGGGCTCGGGGCAGAGAGCCACGGCGCGGGGGTCCCACTCTGGCGCTGGGGACGCGGGGAAGGGGGAGGGGCGTGCGACGCGGAATAAAGTGGTGGGAGCTCTAGACGCCGTGTGCAAGATAACGACAAAAATAAGCAAGGCGCGGCCCACCGACGTTCAAGGCAGTTCCCGTTAGAGGCTCGCGAGGTGGCGTCCCCTCACTCAGCATGGGGCGCAGCGAGTCAATGCAGACGCCATGGCGGCCATGAAGATGGCACGTGGGGCCCGCGCTGGCAGGAGGCACCACGCTGTCATGGCGAGCGGGTGGCCATTACGAGGCGTTTGTGAAATTTGGCCTTGAACGGCCCTCTCGACGAGTTACGGTTGAGCCGCCACGCAGCCCCGTCCTCTGAAGGCTCTCGTCCGCAGAGGCTCGCGGCGTCGACGGTTCGAGGCGTTTGGACGTTCAGCGGTTGCTTCAGGAGGCGCTCGAGGGCCCTGCAGTCACTTGGGATGCTGCCGAGCGTGCTGGCAGCTGGCGTTTCCAGGGCTGTGTCAACCCTGCTCTCCAGGGCTGTGCCAACCCTGCTCTCGACCCTTCCAAAAGTCTGTGGGATGGGGTCGGGTGATTCATGTCGTGCAGACAAGGAGGAGGAGGGGGGGGGAGAAGTAGGAGGAGGAGGAGGAGGAGGAGGAGGAGGAGGAGGAGGAGGAGGAGGAGGAGGAGATCCGTAGCCATTTTGGCTCAAGCCATTTTGGCTCAATTCCGGAGTGTTTTGGCACAGGACCTGGCCTCGCTGGCGCGGGGGAGTGACGGCCCCCAAAGTCACGCCTCGTCGTCTGGTCAGACGAGGTTTTCGGCGATTCTTTTTATCTCTTCTCGCTCAGGGTCGGATGGCCCCTCAGGAGCATGGTGGTGCCACATTCGATACTTGGCAATGTCAGCACAAGCGGTGCGGCTACCGCTTCAACTTCCTCACGCGCACGCACTGCCGCGCGTGCGGTCGCCCCGCGCCTAGCGCGCCTGCCCCCCTCGGATGGCGCGCGCACTCTGGGCGCCTGGCTGCGTGGGCCGCCCCAGGTCGGCGGCCATGGCAGCCGAGGCGGCGGCGGCAGCGGCGGCAAGCGTGGCAACGGCGGTGGCGCGTCAGGGCAGGGCGACGGCAAGCTCTCGTACCTCGAGCCTTCGGCCATCGAAATCTATGCCAAGCTCGAGGCGGCCGACTTCGAGGCGGTCTCTGCGAACTGGACGCCCAAGCTGGTGGCGAAGGTGGTCTCGCACCGTGCGCTGCGGGCTGGTGAACCACGGGCAGAGGCGCGTTCTGCACGCATCGAGCAGGATGTCCTGGCCGACAAGGGGACAAGGCGCAGCGGGCCTACGACCGTGCTCAGGAGGCCGCCCTCAAGGCAGTCACAGCGGCGGCGGTGGCCAAGAAGGAGCTTGACGAGGCCAAGGCGCGCTGCGCGGAGGCCGCCGCGCGTGCTGCACTGGCCTACCAGAGCATGGCGCAGGCGGTGGACCCCGCACAGGCGCTCGCTGCCCTGGCCGATGGGCTCAAGGCGGACCCCAGGCTCACGGACTTCGCCCAGCAGCTCCAGGCGCTCGTCCCCATGTTGCGGCAGCTCGCCGAGCCCGACGTGGTCATGCAGGGCGTCACCCGTGTACCAGGGGCTCCAGGTGTCACTGCTGCTGGTGCCGCTGGCGACGCTCCTGCTGCTGATGGCGCTCCCGCGGCAGCTGCAGCCCAGCCGCCTGAGGGAGCAGCCGCGCGCGCCCCAGCCACCCCAGTCGAGGCGGCTGCTCGGGAGGCCGCGGGCGTGGCGCAGGCCGAGGCCGAGGCGCAGCGTGCCGCGCGCGCTGCCAGCAATGCAGCCGCAGTGCGGCAGCGTGCCCAGGCCTCTCACACCGAGCTGCTCGCCTGGCTCGAGCAGCAACGGGCTGGTCAGCAGATCCAGTCCGAGGCGGAGCAGCAGGGGGTCAAGCACGAGCTCGCCCAGGGTATATTCGACCAGCTCGTGGAGGCCGCCAAGAAGAAGGCCCGCGTGGACGGGGTTGCTGAATCTGATCTTTAGCGTCGCCCTGGTCACCGCGAACGTGTCTGGTCGCAGTGGTTTGGAGGCTGCGCTTCAGCATGAGCAGATTCGAGGTGCTGTTGCTGTCGCCGTCCAAGAGCACCACATGTTGAGAGACAAGTGCGACATCTGGGAGCACAAACTTCGAGCCTTGGGATGGCGCGCTGCCTTCACTGCTGCGGCCGCCACCGCGCAGGGCGGCACATCAGGAGGGCTGCTGCAGTGTGTGCCCGCTGCTGCTGGCCTGGCTGAGGTTGAGTGCGTGCCTAGTGTCATGCATGAGGGCCGCGTACGCATTTTGCACAGTCACGGTCTCGCGCCTTTGGGCTTTCTGTGGGTCAATCTGTACCTTCATCACTCCGGGGGTCCGTCTAAGACGAACTGTGCCATCCTCACTGATGTTGGGCAGGTGGTGAAGGCCGTAGGTTTGCCGTTTGTCATATGTGGAGATTTCCAGATGCCACCTGAGGAGCTCCAGGGTAGTCGTTGGGTGGAAGCGTTGGACGGAGTCTGCCTGTTTCCATCATCTGCCACCTGCACTAATGCTGCTGCTTCCGCGGGTCGTGTCATCGACTATTTTGTTGTTTCGCAGTCGCTCTCGCATCGAGCCTGTGTTTCAGTCGTGCCCGATGCGGGCACAGCGCCACACTGTCCAGTGCTGCTTCAGCTCTCAGCGCTCCCGCAGTGTGGGCTTGAGTTTCGCACAGTACGTGTGCCCAGGCGTTTTCCCCTAGAGGTCCCAGTATCGTGCAGGAGGGCTGATCCTTTACCGCGATGGCAACACTGTTGCAAGCAGATGCCAAGTCTCCCGCTCGCGGAGGAGTGGCAGCTGTGGGAAGGTAACGCGGAGCTCGATCTCGCAGACGTGCATGATCTCACGCCCGCAGAGGATCCCGAGTACTACGGCAGAGCTTTCCCTCCGCAGTTTGTCACGCGCAAGCCATTGCTTCCACGCCCGCTGGCCTTTCCTGCGCTCAGCCCAGCTGCCCTCTGGTGGCGGCTCTTGGCTCGTTGCTTCGAAGGTCTTGCGCGCTGGCAGCCACCTAATCTACGTGCTAGCACCTTCAAGCTAGGTCGCAGTGTCCAGGCTCGGCATAGAGTTAGTGGTGTTCCGATTGAAGAAGCCGAGCCCTGGCTACTGCTGCTCCAGTTGTCCCTGTCGTTGCCGTATGAGCTGGCTTCAGCAGCGGCGAAATTCATTGGTGCTCGTGCTGTTGCAGTTTTCAATCAGGCAGAGCGAGGCAAGCAGGCTGGCTGGAGCGATTGGGTGCGCAGGCACTCGATTGACGGTGCAGCCGCTCTGTATGCTTTCTCCAAGCCCGCTGTGCCGTGGCACATCAGCTCTTTAACTGCTGGCAAGCCATGCACGATTCAGGAGGAGGTGGAGGCTCTTGAGGTGGAGTGGTCGGGTTGGTGGAAGGTTGGAGCTGTCAGTGATCAGATCGTCTGGCCGACGGACCTTGGCCCCCTTTTTGAGAGACCTTCACTCGAGCAGCTGAACAAGTGCGTGCGTTCCTTTCCGCGACGGTCAGGATGCGGCTTTGACCAGTTCCGCCCGCGCCCAACTTTTGGCTTTGTCCGATCACGCGTTGGAAGCCTTCCTCGAGATCCTTTTAGAAGTTGAAGCCTCCTGTACTTGGCCCTCTACCTGGACCAAGGTAGTGTCTCTCCAAGCGCGATGGAGGCCTCAGGCCCATCGCGCTTATTCACATATTGGCTCGTGCGCAGGGGAGGCTTCGCAAGCCCTTAGTCGCAGCTTGGCAGCAGCAGCAGCAGCAGCATGCTCGTCCCTTCTGGTGGTCCACGGCTGGACGCCCCTCGGACAAACTGGTTTGGTTGCAGGCCTCTGCTGCGGAGTGGGGCAGAGCTCGCGGCTTCTCCAGTGCCCTTGTGCTTCTTGACCTGGCCAAAGCTTTCGAGCATATCAGGCATGAAGTTCTTTTGCAGGCAGCGATGCGCACGGGCTTTCCAGTGCGGCAGCTCAAGCTGCTGGTTGAGCTCTATCGCTGCCCCCGCGTGCTTGCTCTTGGCGAGGCAACGTCCACGCCAATTTACACACTGCAGGCCGTGCTGCCAGGGTGCCATTTCGCCACACTTATGCTGCAGCTGGTGTTGCTGGCACCTCTAGATGCCGTGCAGGCAGCTTTCCCGCACATGCATCTTGGCAATGTGGTGGGCGATTTTGGTCTGCAACGGCTTGGCAGAGAGGAGGATGTTGCTTCAGAGCTCGCCCTTGCCACTCGGCTGCTGCATGTGCAGTTGAGAAAGGTCAGTTTGCCCGTCACCCTGAAAAAGAGTAGGGTTGTCACATCCAGTGCTAGCCTCCGCGGGCTCCTCGAGGCCCGACTTCGCTCTGTCAGGCTCAAAGGGGTTCGCACTGAGAGGAACCTCGGGATCGACTTTGCCGCTGGTTATGTTCACAAGCAGTTTGTCCGTGCTAGCAGAAAAAAGCCTGCCGTAGCTCGAGCGCGCAAGCTGCTGGCTCTTTCCCCCTTTGTTCGCAAGCGGCAGCTACGCACAATGATCCGCAGTGCTGCCCTCTCGTCGCACACCTACGGGTGCAAAGTGCTGGGCACCGCTGGCACAGACCTTGGGCAGGCGCGCATGATGCAGGCTCGAGTGCAGGCCAACAGTCTCAACGGCAAGAGTGTGACGCTGCTGCTCATGCTCAGCGAGCGTCGACAGATTGACCCCGCATGCGAACTGCAGTGTGCCCCTCTATTGCAGTACGCCACCGCGGTGTGGGAGCATTGGCACCCACGAGCGATGCTGGAGCAAGGATTGCGGGATGCCGTTGAGAGGTTCACCGATCATGGCAATCCTTGGGCCAGCATCCGCGGCCCTTTTTCTGCGTGCGCTGCCGCAGCTTTGCGGCTTCGCGTTTGCATGCAAGGCTTCGCATGGTCGCATCCTCGGCACGGTGAGGTATCTGCTTCGCAGTCCGGGCCTCGCACTGTTCGCAAATATCTCTACCATGTAGTGCAGCAGTGGCTCTGGGAAAAAGTGGCCTCAAGAGAAGGGGTTCCTGAGCTCTCTCTTGGGTGTAATTGTCAGCCCCCTGCGGTCTCTCTTAGCCTCCAGAGGCCTCCGACATGATGAGAAGGCCTACCTGAGGAGCGTCGTTGCTGGGGGGCAGTGGCCTCAGCGTCGACAGTGGCTTTCGCAGTATACCGCTGACCCCCTCTGCCGCTTATGTCAGCAGGCCCCTGGCACGCTCTTGCATCGTCACGCGTGCTGTGCGGGCCACGATGACATCGCGGCGCAGGAGGCTCCGCCTGATTTCTTGGCGTCAGTTGTCAGGGCTTGCCTCGACCCCCTCCCTCTCCTGTTCGCCGAGAGGCTCCTCGTCCCCGAGGCTCCCCGTCCTCCTGCCAGCACCCTCCCCGATCGGTGGTTCGGCGGAGGACCTACCGAGATGGCAGGGCACGTTTTTCTTGACGCCAGCTGGATGGACCAGCACTTGCCGCCCGCGTCCCAGGCTGTGGGCTGGGCCATCGTCAGTGTGCAGCCGCAACATCCTTTTAATGCTACTTCGGTGATGTGCGGCACCCTCCAGATCGTTTGTCAAGATATTGACTGTGCTGAGCTGTTTGCGTTCAACCGTGCTTTGCAGCACTCTGCACCAGGCAGTATTTGTTACACCGACTCAGGTTTTGTCCACGATGGAGTGTATCAGCGTGGCAAGGCGTACTGTTGCTCGGCGCGTGCAGCCTGGTCTGAGTTATGGGTCCAGGTCTGGCGACGCATCGATGACTGGGGCGGCATTGAATGCATCGACCTACGCAAGGTCAGAGGTCACTGCACGCGTTTTGAAAAAGTGGGCAATGAGCATGCCGATGAATGGGCTCAGTGGATGACCTCGAGTGTTCGTATTGATCCTGAGCTCCGCAAGGTTCGTAGCGCCAAGGCCCTTGTGCTCTCTCACTGGGCGTCTTGGGTCGCGCGCATCGGGCCTCGCATGTGTGATGTCGATTGCGAACATGTCCCTCGTCGGTTGCGCAAGGCTCGTGGCCTGGGTGCGGTGGACCGCCCTGTGCCCAACATAGTGGTGGAGCCCCCGCCTCCAGTCACGCCGCGCAGCCTGTCGAGAGCCGATCTTGCCTCTGTGCGCGTGCAGCTTGCGGATGAGAGGCCGCATGTCATGCACCCCTTTGCCGTCATAGGGGACCGGGGGCGGAGGCTGTGGTGTACTGTGTGCGTGGTGTGCGGGCTGGGAGGGGTTAAGATCTCTGCGAACCTGTCGCAGGGCTGTCGTGGCCCCCCTGCATCAGGCACGTGAGGTGCTCGAGTCCTCGCGGGCCTCACGCGTGCTCCCGCACGCTTTCAGGTCAATCGTGTGTGGCGGTATTTGGAGGATCCGCTGCGCACTGCTTCCTTGATCCGTGCGGGGGTGGTGCAACCGCTCTAGAGCAGCGCTGTGCCATGCCCCGCACGGCTTTCGTATCTGCCAGCCTTCTGTGTGCTGGCCATGCCTTACCTTTCTGGGCACTGTTCGGGTGGCGCCACCCGCCTCTGGCCGTGGCCATGCGGTGGCGTAAGTGGCAGGTGGCGCGGACAACCTTGTTCGCGTTCAGGCTGAGTCGAGGACGAGGAGAAGGAGGAGGCCGAGGAGGACGAGGAGGAGGAAGAGGAGGAGGACGGACGAGCAGAGGAGGAGGAAGAGGAGGAGGAGGAGGAGGAGGAGGAGGAGGAGGAGGAGGAGGAGGAGGAGGAGGAGGAGGAGGAGGAGGAGGAGGGAGGAGGAGGAGGAGGAGGAGGAGAGGAGGGAGGAGGAGCAGAGGAGGAGGAGAGGAGAGGAGGAGGAGGAGGAGGAGGAGGAGGAGGAGGAGGAGGAGGAGGAGGAGGAGGTGAAATTCTGACTTTGCCCTGGTCCGAACTCTGGCTTAATCTGGTTATTTCCCGCTGGATCCCGTCAAATCCCGCTGAATCCGGCTTAATCCCGCTCAATCCGCGGCCTGATCCAGCGTAGTGGCCCCCCAATGAGGCTTAACCCCCCTGAGTTTTTCCGACGAAGACCTCCCAAAAGTTGTCGGACGGGGCTAGGACGAGGATAAATGCGTTCCAGGAGCGCTCTCAGAGCGCTCCGGAACGCTCTGAGAAGGCCGCGGCACCCGAGACGCCCTTCGGAGCCGCTGGATATCTGAGATTCTCGATTGATCTCCACCCGATTTTGTCCTCGTCCTAGTTTCGTCTTCAGTTCCGCAGGTGCCATCTATACACCACCGCTGTGCATGGCCAGGGCCACCCTGGGCTCCACGATGGTGTAGAGACCCTTCTGGCCTCGGCCAGGAGGCGTATGCACCATGCCAGGGCTCAGGATGGCCCTGGCCAGGAAGGGCGGTGGTTCTAGAATGCCTTCTGCGTACGAGTTGCCTCCCAGTCTTCCCTCCTCCCTCCTCCTCACCCTGGCGTCGGGAGGCTGCCCCCTCTGGAGAGGGCGGGCCGCAGCCGGGCCGCCTGGCCCGCGCTCCCGCCGCCTCCCTCCTCCGCCTCCTCCTCCTCCTCCTCGTCCTCGCATTCCTCCTCCTACACTTCATCGTTCTCCTCCTCCTCCTCCTCCTCCTCCTCCTCCTCCTTCTCCACCCTTCCTTCTCCACCCTCCCCGGAGGTGGCGCGCCTCCAGTCCCTGGAGAGCGCCTCGCAGAAGCGCCGGCGCTACCTCCGCGTGGCCTCCATGTGTGCTCCTCTCATGGCGGGGCGGGGTCCAAGACTTTAGAGGAGGAAAATGTACCCATACAAATGGGACCCATGCCAAGAAACACCCTGCTTGCCTCCAGGGTGCCCTGGGTTGCTTGGGTTTCGATGGTTTTGCTGTGGAAAGCGTGACGTTTCCACCAAAACATCGATCGACGTCCTGGGGTCTCAGGGTTGGGTTTCTTGTGGCAGGTTTCTTGTGAACTGGCCTCCACTGTACCGTTGCTCCTGCCTCGTCTTTTCCTCTCTGGGCTTCCAGGGAGGCCCTCGTCGCCGCCCCCGGACTCGCCTCGAAATCCTGGGAGATGCCTGGGGAGCAGCGGTATGGGGTGTGGGTACCTTTTGGTCTCCCCAAGACCTCTCGGCTGTACCTTTCGTCGTGCCACGCACACGGGGGAGAGAGGCGCAGCCCGCCACCCGCACGCGCTCGGAGGCGGGCGGGCCCGCTTTCGCACGCCGACGTCATGCATCAGGAACTTCACTGGACGCTCCAGTCGCTGGTCGCTCGCTGCCTGACGATCATCAGGACCGACGCTCGCTCTGGAGAGAGGGAGAGAGAGAGAGAGAGAGAGAGAGAGAGGGAGAGAGCCAGAGAAGACGACATAGAGAGAGAGAGAGAGAGAGAGCGAGAGAGAGCGAGAGGGAGTGAGAGGGAGAAAGAGAGAGAGAGAGAGAAAAACAAATGTGCCAATGCTCGGGTACATTTCGTTGGGGAAGTACATGGGGATCCCGGAACCCGGGACCCGAGCCTCCAATCCTGGAGCCCGGAACCCGGGACCCGAGCCTCCAATCTTGGAGCCGGGCCTCCCGGGTCGCTCCTTTTCGGCCTCTGCAACTGGCCCCCAGGGGCTCCAGAACAGGCCCAGGAGAGTACACCTTAGGCGATGCTTAAGAAAACCTCAGTTTTCGTCCAGAGTCTCGATTATTCTTAACTTTTCAATATAAATCCCAAGATTTTGATAGAAGTTCTGGGTTTTATTCCATTTCTGAGACTATGAATTTCTTAACCCATGATTTCTTAAGCATTTCGCAGGGTGTAAGCGACAACAAACTTTGAGTCGGGCTTGTCCCTTGACATGAGGGACATTCAAAAACAGTAGACAAATAGTCAGGAGACGACTTTTTACGGTGTTTGAGCATTTCTGGAGTATTATTCTTGAGTGTTTTTAGTTTTTCGCCCATGATCCCCCCTGTGGAGGGACATGCCCGACCTAAAACAAACCCCAGGGACAGCCTCGACGCTTCCAAGACGACCCAGACAAGGGGTTTTTGATGGGCTCAGGGAGCCCTGAGAGGACTTTTTCTGCATGGCGCCCGAAAGGCACATTTCTTTGATTTGGTCATCAGTTTCTGAAGCAGCGTATTTTTCGGATTCTTGCTGTTTCTCCGCCGTCCATGGCGCCCAAGATGTCTTGAGGCAAGCTTGGGCAGTCTTGGGGCAACATCGGGTTGCTGGGAGGCATCCCAGGCCATCTCGGAGGCCTCTGCGGTCTGCCCCTCCCCCTCAGTGCGCCATTTGGGCTCATGGTGCGGGGGGGTGAAGAATGATCAACGCTTGAGACACCACATGGATGGACGGACTCTGAGTTTCTGAGGACGCTCCACTCAGTGCAGAACGGCACGGTGGAGGATGGATTGTTTTGCCAGCTCAATGCGTTGTCAAGAGCTAAGCCGCTAAGCTCCCGAACTTTGGTCTTCGCAGTCACTTGCTGGAACGGGAGAAGACGGAGAAGTAGTGGGGGCGTAGGAGAGAGGGGAGAGGGAGGGCAGGGGGGTGAGGTGTGGGAATGGGAGAGGGGGTCTCATGTTGTGCTTCAAGCGGGGCGGTCGAGGTGTTTCAGTTATTGGTGGTGCTCGCTATCACCGCCGCCTTCATATGCATCGAGGTCTAGCTCTCTGTGTCTCTCTTTTTCTCTTTGTTCACTCTCTCTCTCTTTTTCTACATGGCCGCACCTTTAGTAGGGGGAGGAGAACGGGAGACACGCACGGAGTAAGGAGAAGCAGGAGGGAGGAGGGAAAAGTGGGGATGAGGGAGGAAGGGGGATGGATGGGGGAGGAGCATGTGGGGGATAATGTGGATGAGACACGGCGGCTTGCAAGGACGATGCTCCGACCCGTGCCCAAAACCCTTTCCCGTGCGCGTGAGCATGGCCGCGTCTGTGCGCATGCCGATGGTCATACCCACCGTCAGGCCGCTGTTGCATCTGAGGCGATGCACCCTGCACATGTTCTCGTCCTCGCAGACTCCAGCTCCACTGCCAACGTAACCGGTCACGCCTGTGCTTCCCCCCGACCTGCGTGCAGGCTCATGCTCGTACTTGTTCCGATTCGCACGCGCATCCTGTTGTCTGCCCCCATCCGCACCGCCCGTACCCATGCTACCCGTCGATGCGATAAACCGCTTGCCAGTGCCTCGACTCTGCCAGAGCGGGTCGTACCCCGCAGCCCCCCACCCGCGGGGAGAAGAAGATAGATGCAGCGACGTCTGCTCGCCGCGAAACAACCAACACGAGTACGACTTGAGATTCCTCCGGTGACTCAACTTATCATCATCACAATCTTTTTCATCCTCATTATCGTCATCATTTTTATCATCTGCCCATGTGTGCGCACGCGTTGCTCTTTCTGATTTCATTCTTATCCGGTTAATGTGCGAGTGTCCAACCGACAGCTCTTCGCCTCTCTGGCCGAGCTCACAGACCGTGAGGGACTAGCATGCGGTGTCGCCGTCGTCCTCCCTGCCGCCTACGAGCAGGCCGACGTCCGCGTCCTTGTGCTGGGGTGCGCTATTATGGTCTCCTTCCAGCGCGGGGGTCAGTCCACACGCCGACAGGAGGGCAGAGGTGCTTGAATTGCTCGCCGCTGCCGCCGCACTCCCCACTGACGACGTCCTTACCGTTTGGGGTGGTAACCTCAACATGCAGGTTGCCGCTCCACGGGTTCACGGGTTGGGGAAGACAAGGACGTCGCAAGGTGGCTGCATCATCTCCAGCAGCACAGCGCTGCAGGCTTACGCGTGGATGGGCCAACCTGGGTTGAGCACCATGGCGAGTCACACATCGATGTCGACACAATTGCCCAGGTTGCGAATAGCTACCACTTCCGGAAGTTGTGGAGTTCTCGCCTCTCCGACCACGTTTTGGTCTATTTCGACCCTAGCGCCACGGCCACGAGGCGACAAGATCGGGTCATGTCTCCCATCTTCTGCAAAATCCTTCCGGCCGAGGCCTCACATGACCTCAGACAGAAGATACGCAGTCCTCGAGCACGTACCGGGAGCGACGTGCGCGAGGTTACACCCCCCTTTCTCGTCGGCAGCGACTTCCGCGAGAACAGCCACATGACTTACGCTCTGTTTGCAGATGACACTACATTGGTTGCCAAATCAAGGCAGCATTGGCACACATGTTGGCCCCAATCCGGGACCAGCTTACGAAACTTGGTTTGAAAATGAACTCCAGCAAATGCAGTGTCCAATGCTCTGGAACAGTTGTACCATCAAACAGGAAGATACAATTAGCAGGGTGCGAGTATCCATTGATAAGCTGTAGCGTTGGTTTTGAAGTGTTGGGAACTCCAATCATAGTTGGTGGCACTAGTTCTACAAGGTTCGATTCGAGCTGACGGTCTGGACGGGCAAATTTTTCAAGCCATTCAGAGGCGCTCGTGGAATACATGCAGCTCTGAATCAAAAAGACGACAGCTTTTCGACGCGACGCTGCCCAGCACTGTTTCACGGTGTGGCGACACATGGAATCTCACAGCCCGACAGAAACACATTCAGAAACGCGCAGTGGTGCATGCTTAGGCGGATGGTTGGGCCTCCAAGGCATCCCGACGAAGAGTATGTATCATGGGTTCGCAGAGCGGCGCATGTCGAGGAAAAGCACGGAAAGCGGGAGTGTCATGTTGGCTTGATAAAAAATCGAAGCGGAATTGGGCTGGGAAGATCGTCGGCGTGCCAGCTACGCGGTGGACCAAACGAGTGCCTCAATGGAGGGACCATAGGTTGTGGGAAGATCGATCAAGGGGAACCGTCGGTAGTTCAGTTCGTTTCCAGCCGGGGCGGTTCAGCAGATGGCAACATGAGGTTGTATCGTGCGCAAAACGTGCCGGTTGGGATTCTTGGGTTGTCACGGCATCGCGGCACTTTATCCAGCTTGCATGGCGCTGGCCGCGAGTATCGAGTGAGGCATTCATTCTCCCAGTTCCGATTAGAAATCCTGCGCGCTACAGGCGCGCCTGCCTCCCTTGCAGGGACGCCTGGCCTCCCGGCGATGGCGCCCAGAAAACCCTGGACAAGCATGGGAAAGGCTTATAATTCTCGCTGCAGCAGCAGCAGCACAGCCACGACCTCTCAGTGCTGCATGCGCCTTAGGGCACTCCACTCGTGCCAGAGGCACCGTGGCGGATATGAGACATGCACAATCACATGTGTGCTCTCGTGCGTGCGTGCGTGCGTGCGTGCGTGCCTGTGTGTGTGTGTGTGCACATGACTTGCTCCACCTCATCACCGCGCGCGATGCCGCGACCGCCAAATGGTGTGTGTGTGTGTGTGTGTGTGTATCCGCGCTTCTTCACAACGTTTCTTGCGAGAGTAGAGGGAAGCAGAGTAAGATGCCATCGGCCACTTCTGCAGCTCATTATTCTCCTCGCCAGAGGTCTACATTTATGACGTGTTGTGGGAGACGGTCCACGTATCGATGCGACTTCTTGCATGTTTTGTTTACAATTTGTCGTTCGGAATTGCTTTCATGCTTATTCGTAAGGCTTGCTGCCGCTCCGCTTTCGCACCCGAATCTTTCTGTGCGGCTACAGGCGTGGATGCAGTGTCCACGCTTCCACGATGTATCTCTGGCTGTTTGGGGTGAGGTTGAGCCGTGCAGCCTCTGGATGGCCCTGACTCCAGCGGGCTCGGCGGATCCTCACGGTGTTTTATCCGATCTCAAAGAAGGTCACGGAGTGGGAGGACCGACTTTTGTTTTGTCGCTCGGGAGGCTTTACCACTGGGGCATGTGCGTTGCCACACATACCATGTGCTGATTCTGGAAGCAGTGCGTGGAACAGCACCGCGAGCACCTGCAGTCCAGTCACAGCGGCGGCATGAATGCTGCAGTGCGGTCGCTGCGTGTCACACCGCGAGCACCTTCAATGCTGCAGCCGGCATGAATGAGTTTTCATGCACGATTGGTGTTCCTCGGTGGGTCGTGTGGCCGTCGTGTCGACGTCTTGGGCTCTGGTGGAGCTATCTTGGCTGTCTTCAGGGCTTCTTGGTCGATCCGAGTACCGTTGAAGACGCCGGGACGGCGTCGAGGACGTCTCAGGGTCTCAGACACAGCGCCTGGCTGCCGCGGCTGCGCAAATCAATAGTTCCAAACCATCTTGTGGTGTTGGGTCCTCGTTTTGGTGAAGAGACAGCGTCCCGCGTCCACTCCTTCCTCCGTACCCACTTCCTCCTCCCATCGTTACCTCATCCGTCCGCATGGTCATTTCGGCGCACCCTCGCACGTTTCGTGGTCCCATGGGGAGCTCCAACTACGTCTCTGGGGGGGGTGACGCACGCCGCCCCCCCGCCCATATTGGTACACTCCTTACACAATCCGTGACACCATATGGAGCTTCAACTTAGGCTCTAGGGGGGGGGTGCAGATCACCCGCCATCTGGGCACACCCCGTGAACTCTTCGTGGCCCTACAGGGAGCTCCACCGAAGGCCCCAGGAGGGGGGTACGCACGCGGCCCCCCCGCCCTTTCGGCACACCCCTCGCGCGTCGTGGCTCCATAGGGACCTCCACCAAAGGCCCAAAGGCGGGCGGTTCGCATGCCGCCCCCCAGCCTATTTCGGCACTCTCATACGTTTCGTGGTCCCCAACCAATGTAGGCACACCCCTAACACGTTTCGTGGCCACATAGGGGAGCTCCACCGAAGGCCCCAGTGACAGCGCCTGCATGCGTCCCCAGGCCCTTTCCTGGCACACCCTCACACACCTCGTGACACCAGACGGAGCTCCACCGAAGGCCCAAGTCTCAACGTCCGCATGTGGCCCCAGGCCCATTCTGGCACACCCGTCACACGCGTCGTAGCCCCATAGGGAATTCCACCGAAGGCCTAGTGTCAGGGCCCGCATGCGCCCCCAGGTTCATTTCGGCAAACTGCTTACACGTTACGTGGCCGTGCACCACTGAACGCGGTATTCACAAGTGCGGTATTCACAGCTGCATCTGGTTGTATCTTTCGCCCGGATGAATTGACATGTTTAGACTCGTTCTCTTCACGAGGCATCGATGCTGCGCTAGCGCGGTTGCCTCCTATTTTGCAAGGTGTTGTGTCCGCGCGAGCGCGGATTCGTCTAATTTCGTAAGGGTGTATGCCCTATGCAGCAGTTGTGCTGCCGCGCTTGCGAGAGAGGCCCAGCGAGGCTGCAGGCTGCAGTGCGGCAAGGTATGTCTTGGATTGAGCGAAGCACCGACTGCATAGCAGCAGCTGGAGGAAACGGGCGAAAGTAGGGGCAGGATTCCGAAGGAGGAAGAGGAGGAGTGGGAGGAGGAGGGGAAGGTGGAGGAGGAGGACGAGGAGGTGGAGGGGGAGGAGGAGGCGAGGGAGGAGGAGGAGGAGGAGGAGGAGGAGGAGGAGGAGGAGGAGGAGGAGGAGGAGGAGGAGGAGGAGGAGGAGGAGGAGAATGAGAAGGAGGAGAATGAGGAGGAGGAGGAGGAGGAAGAGGAGGAGGAGGAGGAGGGACAGGAATTTCGAATGAGGAGGGCGAGGACGAGCTTGCGGTTGGCGGAAGGCCAGGAAGAGGAGGTGGGCGGAGGAGGAGGGCGGCGGCGGGGGGGAGGCCGGCCGCGAGGGCCATCCGGACCCGCTCCTGGTCCGCTACCATCGCATCGCCAAGCTGTTCGCGAACTGGCTCTCGGGCGGCATCCGCATCTTTGCCCTGTCCTCCTCCTCGTCCTGCGTGACGTCGTCGTCCTCCTCGTCCTTCTCATCTTTTGCTTCGCTCCGCCTCATCCTCCTCATCCGCCTCCTCCTCCTCCTCCTCCTTCCCGCCCTTCTCTTTCTTGCTCTTCCTGCTCCTCCTCCACCTTTTCTTCCCACTGCTGCTGCTCCTCCTCCAAGCTCCTCCTGCTCCTCCTCGCCCACCCCCTGAATAGTGGTGTCCGTCGCGGCACTTCTACGTGCTCGAGCTGCGGATCATATGCGATCCGCAGCTCTTACAACATGTTGGGATAGTGTGCGTGCCAGGCCACATGGCTGGCGCGTCTTTCCTTGACCAATCGCAGAGGGAGAAGTATAAGTTTTGACGCCTCCACAAGCGGTACCTCCGAGAGCTATCTGGAGGAGGGGCGTCGGTAATTTGGGATATACGTGTTGAAGGACCAATGGCCCACGAGCAGATTAGAGCGAATCGTCTTACCTTGACTGTTGCTGTTGTAGTAGTAGTAGTAGTAGTAGTAGTAGTAGTAGTAGTAGTAGTAGTAGTAGTAGTAGTAGTAGTAGTAGTAGTAGTAGTAGTAGTAGTAGTAGTAGTAGTAGTAGTAGTAGTAGTAGTAGTAGTAGTAGTAGTAGTAGTAGTAGTAGTAGTAGTAGTAGTAGTAGTAGTAGTAGTAGTAGTAGTAGTAGTAGTAGTAGCAGTAGTAGTAGTAGTAGTAGTTGTTGTTGTTGTTGTTGTTGTTGTTGTTGTTGTTGTTGTTGTTATTGCTGCTGCTGCTGCTGCTGCTGCTGTTGTTGTTGTTGTTGTTGTTTTTTTTGTCGTCGTTGATGTTGTTGGCATTCTTAGTATTGTTAGTTGCATGGGTATCCATTACCATTGTTATGATTATGTTTGTTATTATTAGTATGCTGATTACTGTTGTGATTATGCTCACTTTATTATTATTACTGCTAGTTGTATTATTACTGTTATTGCTAGTCTGATTATATCTAAGTGGTGCTTGCACTGTGTAAGGGGTCCTTGCTTCTGTTCTTATGGAACTGGGCCTGGCAGTTGGCCCGGTGACTATGTGGCCGCCGTCGCCGCTCCGGCGCCGCCTCGTCGCCGCCCGTCGTCTGTGCCTGACAGTCGGCCTGGCGGCTCTGTGTCCGCCAGCGCCGCCCCGTCGCTGCCCTCTCGGCTCCCGTCGTCTGGGCCTGGGTGTCGGCCTGGCCGCCCCGTGCTCGCCGCCTTCGCCCCGTCGCCGCTTCGGTCGCCGCTTCGTTCCCCGAGCCTGGGTTTCGGTCTGGCGGGTCCGTGCTCGCCGTCGCCGCCCCGTCGCCCCCTGGATTGCAGCGCATAGGGTGCACCGCATGCATTGCACCACAGAGTTGGCTCAGCATACATTGCATCACACAGATGGTACCACGTCTACTGTACCACGTCGATTGCACAACACCCATTGCGCACATCATACGTAGCACCACATCGATTGCACCACATACATTGCACCACATAGGTTGCCCCACAACTAGTGCACAACACTTATTGCACAACTCAGATTGCACAACGTAGATTGCACACCATATAATGCACCACGTAGGTTGCACCGCGTATATGGCTCCTCTGAGATGACACAACGTACACTGCTAGAAAAACACTGTTTTGGGTCCATGCTGGCCAACCCACATGCATCCACGTACATTGTTGTACATGCATACGTATATTTCACAGGTATACATTTACTATATACATACACGCGTGCACGATCACATATGTGTACCTACGTGCGTGTCTTCCCGCATCTACATACGCACTCGCACACACGCGCTCGTACATAGGACAGTGTACGTGTATGCGGAGGTGTGTCTTTGCGAATATGCAGGCGTGTTCTCGATGCACACAGGCGTACCCCCAAGCAGCCAGCGCGCCCGGGTTGTATGATAGCCTTGAGAGGTTCTTCGCCATATTCTTTTATTTCTTCATCATCGGCTTCCTGTACATCCCCTTCGGCGACCATGGGGAACAACATAACTTGTGCTGCAGGAAGAGAGGAGAGATGGGGAGCCAGAGGCGGACGGGGTTCAGAGGCGAAGGAGGAGGATAGAAGGAACCACGACAGCAGCTGCAGCGGGAGACATGCGACCAGGAAGAGGAGGATAAGGGAGGTCAGATGTATGCTGATGATTGTGGATCGGCAGGGTGAGTAGCACGAATAGGATCATATCTGTCGGATACTGCCTCGCTGATGATCAGCGACGTCAGCATTGTCTGCTACCTGGACGCCCGCACTTCATTCCCCGAGGGAGGCGTCACGATGACGGGCAAGATCGGCAGTGTCAAGGCCAACCTGCACGGCAACGGCATGAAGCTGGAATGCGGTCACTTCAATTTCCAGCAGTGCGACGGCAACGAGCCAGCACCGTTGCAGTCCATCTTCGAGCAGCTGTTGCTCCGCTTCACCGCCTCGTGCGGGGCATCATGTCGCGCAAAAGTTCAAACGCGTCTCCTCCTGCAGGTGGCCAGGTCCAGGAGCTCTCCAGCTCCCCCGCCGCGTTGGCTCAGCAGCTTAGCGTCGACATGTGAATGGGATCAGCGAGCCTGGACGGGCAGCATTCCTCCCTCCTCCCTCTCAGTCGCGCCAGGGGGATGCTTCAAACTTCTCTTGATATGTGCGGATCCTCATCCTCATCTCCTTCCTCCTCCCGCTTCCCTCCTCCCTCCTCCCCTCTCCCATCCCTCCCTCCCTCCTTTCCTCCCTCCCTCCCCTCCTCCTCCTCCTCCTCCTCCTCTTCGTCGCCCTCCTCCCGCATCCGCTCAGGCTCGAGGCCACTTCGGCCCGAGATGGTCTGCGAGACCCTGCCCCCCCATACACCGCGCCCTCGGGGATTCCTCGCGCTTCTCTCTCCCGCAATCCCCCGGCGCGCCGCGCTGGCCTGCACGCTCCCTCCTTCTGGTTCCCCTCGGGTTCTCGCCAGTGGCGGGCGCCCTCCGTGCGGCGGCTTCGGCCGCGTCGGCTCCCCTGCCCGGGGGCGGGGCCGCGGGCGTCTCCTCCCCCACGCAGCCGCCCGCGCCTCCCAGGTGCCGAGGACATCCGGGTGACGACCTGTCTGTTCAGCGACTTTGCCAAGGCTCGTGAAGGAGGGCTCCGCCACTCACGCCTAGGAGTTCGAGCTGTTCCGGGGACACATGAGCACGCTCGGTTCGAATTCCGGTCGGGTGCAGTCTGAGTTCGTTTCAACGCCCAAGAGCAGATTAATATGTTTCGCGATATGAGAAGGTTCTAAGATGAGGCCATGTACCAGGTCACCTTGAATCCCGGTGCGAGGCTTCGAGGCGTGGTCGAGCAGATCGAGTCGACTGTGGAAAACGTTAGGGGACGGTGCGCTTGTCGGTGGCATCGACTCGTGCGGGCACATATGGGGGATGACGATGGATAGGTTCCGCGCAAGATGCTCCGTGTTTCGAGACCGCACCAAGGTAGTGCTACTCGTCTCGTCGTGCTCGGCTTCCAGATGCCCTTTCCGGAATATTCTTTGACAGCAACAGCGCGCCTAATCGTTCAGCTCTGCAGCCCGAGTGGAGAAGAACCCGCAGTTCGTGCCTACACTCTGCCCCGAAAGGTGGTTCTCGAATCGTGGCCAGCCTTTTCCAGTGAGGATCAGATCATGGACGTGACAGTTTTCAATGCCCTGATCAATCAGCAGCCTTGGGGCACCGATCGAATCTGCCGTGATTTCCCCCCCGCCAGTCGTTTTTTTTTTTTTTTTTTTTTTTTTTTTTTTTTTTTTTGTTTTTCTGTTTTTTTTTTCTCCTTGGCCAGGCGCGTCTTATCCCAGAACAAGTTTTGGGCGAGTATCAGGTAGGCGGCGATGGCTTAGGTGGACAAGTGTACGGTCTCCTCTCCGCGTAGCCTCCCCGTGGCACCCTACGATCTTGGCGAAGATATCGATCTCCGTGGTGGGGGTCCCGAGCTTACCGTGGGTTCCGAGGGCTTTTCCTCTTCTGGCAACAGTGGGCGCGCGGGTTGCGCCAGGGCTCTGCCCAGTCAAATTCGCCCCCTCGTCTGAGGGGGGCGAGTCGTCCACGGGGCCCGGTGCACAGGCACCCGCGGGCCTCTGAATGTCGCTCTGGACCTGGCCTCGTTGAGGTTTGCGGCCGCCAGGGTGCGGCCCGTCGGACAATTCTGCGCTGGGCTAGGGGATTTCGCCAGCCAGCCTTTTTCAACGTGCTAATCTGTTTGGGGGTAGCTTCCCCCCCCGACTCCGCCTCTGGAGTGAGCGGGGTGTTCTCCTCGAGTTCTGCTGTCCCCCTTGCGCTTGGAATGCGCGCTCGCGCCCCTGTCGTCTTAGTATGCGTCTTCTCGTTGCTGATTTTGCGAGCGCCTGGGGAACGCATGGGGCGGGGGCTGATGCTGAGTTGGTCCAGCGTGATGGTCGGCGTCGGATTGCTGCCATTCACTGCTTGATGTAGGGCCCGTCTATGGGGGTTCTGGCGACGGTCATCTCGGCCAGGGTCGCGGCGCAGCTGGAGACCTGCGATCAGGGGGCATTTGTCAACGGCCGTGTTAGCTCGTGGCTGTTGGGGCGGCTTCGCGGGGACCTCTGCGCGGCGAGCGCGCGCGCGCTTGCCGCTTCGGCCCCCGCGGGCGCGCGCCGCAGGTGCCTTGATTTGAGCCGGGCGCTCTTCCCAGCGCACCCCGCAGGAGTTTATGGGGGGGCGGGTCGGACTGGCGTGGCGTGGTTGAATGGGGTCGGCTTCGGAGCGACGCTTCTGCTGGCGGTGCGCGGCCCTCCCCGATCGCGCGCGCGTTTCTTCCATGGTCCCATCTTGAGCGACTTTCTGCGTGCCGTGGGTGCGATGTGGCGTGCTGTCAGGTCAAGTGCCCCGTCCGATCGCATCCGCGTTGTTGCGGCGATCTCGACTCGCGCCCCCTTCCCGTGCTCTCGCCAGAGTCCATGTGGGTGCTCCGACATGGGTTTCTGCTGCTCTGCCCGTGGGGGCTCGCGCGAATGGGTGATTTTTTCCTGGCGCGCCCTCTTCTGCTCAAACGTTGACTTCGCGAAGGGCCCCCCTCGGGATACTTGCGAAAAAATGATTTTGCGCTGATGGCGCCCCGTATGGGGCTCCGCGGGAGGGCTTCTCCGCGCGCCCGCCTGCCGAGCGTGTCCTTTTCTTTGGGTCTGTTCCGCGCCCGTGTGTGAGAGGTGCGCGCGCGTTGCAGGGCTGGCCTTTCGCGCCCAGGCGCTGAAGGACTCGTGGTATGAGGCCGAGGTGAGGGCCCTCTAGAATTTGCTTGTGCGCGTGTGTTCGTGTGTGGGGGCGGCGTCTCTGATGCGGCCCCGGCGGCGGCGTCTTCGCCCCCTTGGCGAGTCCAGTCAGGCCAGCCAACTGCGCGCATTCGTTCCGGGCCTTCTCGGAGGAGGTTCCCAATCGGATGCCTTGGCCGGAGACCTTGGGCGCCGCTTCCGCAATCTATTCGGGGACGGGGGATCGGGTCATGGGGCCGGGCGATTTCGCGGAGCGGGGCAGGTTCGAAAGCTCTCTGCACCCGGTGGGGGTAGGCCCCCGTGCGGAAGCAAGACAGCTGGGGGCGCGGCTGACGTTTTATCCGTAATCTATGCAGCAATGTATCGTGCCTCGAGAGGGCCCGCCACCGACGCGGTTGCGCGGGCGTGTGTGTGTGTGTGTGTGTGTGTGTGTGTGTGTGTGTGTGTGTGTGTGTGTGTGTGTGTGTGTGTGTGTGTGTGTGTGCGTTTTGTGCCGAAATACGCGGGGCAGGACGTGGGCCCAGCTGCGCTGTCGCGCTCGCTGGGCAGGGCGCGTCCGCTGACTCTCGCTTGCGTAGATGCGAAGCTGTCGAGTGATTTCGATCGATTGGTCTCGAGCGCGCCGCGGGCGTGGCGATTGGCGTCAGTCAGCGTGCCGCGAGAGGGCTATTTGACGGTGTTCTTGGGGGCTGCGTGGTGGGGGTTCCGTGAAATTCCCGCGGGTGGTGATCGGTTGAAGAGTCTTTTCGCGGTCTGTAAATTTGTTCTCCTATCGTTTCTCGTTTCTTGGGCCTCGACGGTTCGCTTCGCCTCGGGCCCTGGGGGGGGGATCCGAGGTTGCCGTGGCCAGGTCTACTGCGAAAAGGCGACGGTCATGCAGTCGCATGAGGCTTATGCCGAGGGAGTTCGCTGTCCGCCGCGGGGCATGCCGGGGGGGCCATATTTCCATGCTGCTATGTGCCCGCGCTCTTGGCCGAGATCCCCGCTGGCTCTGGGCGGGGCTGTTCGGTCATGGTCCTCGTGCCCGTGCGCGCGCCGACGGATTGCAGCCCGCTCTGTCTCTGGTGTCGATGCTTGTCGGCGCGCTCGGGCGGGGCTGAACCTCCCTCGGCGCGAGGTTTTCGCCGCGGTGGCCCTGGCCCGGGGTTGGCTTGCCGACCGCCTGCGGAGAATGAGTGGCGTTGTCCAGGTGCCGGGGTTTGCGATGTCTGTTCTGCGCTCGGGATTCTGCCTGGCCCCGAGGCTCGCGAGGAAGCGCGGTCCGACGCCGCCCCGAAGCCCTTGGTGCCTGCGAGGGGCTCCTGACGACGATCATGCTGGTCCAGTCTCGCAATATGTAATTTGTTCGCTTCCCAGTTGCGGCTTCGCCCAGTCGCCCCTCCTGTCTCGGGGGGGCGCGCGGCGAGACGTTGCAAGTTCGGGCGGCGACATGTTGTCTCAATGGGGATGTTGACAGGTAGGGGGCCCGTGGTGCGTTGGCGGAATTTTTGTACCTGGACATCTCCTCGGAAGCGTATATGGTTTTGGTTCTCGTGCCCTGTGCTGGCTAGGGCTGGGTGCATTCTGTGATAGAGGCTGTTCCTGCCTGTCTTGGCTCCCTGTGGTGGCGCCAGTCCTGGATTTGGGCAGCGGCGGGCGACGCGGGGGCGCCTCGCGCGCCCAGTGCCGAACCCTTCCCCGATATGCTCTTGCAGAAGAAGGCGATTAAACGATTGAGTTTTTTTGCGGGGCCCCGCAGTGCATCTCAGGGCCTCTGGTCAATCGCCTCGACAAGTGGGTTGGTGCCGGGCAGTTTGCGCTCTTTGACTTGCAGGTTCTTGCCCTGATGGTGCGCGCGGTAGAGAGGGATGGCGCGATGTGCCTCGTCACTGCCGCGCTGCGTGCATTGCGTCGGGGGGGGGGGGCCTCGATCTGATTCCACCCTGCCATCTGGAGGCGTGACATTTTGCGACGGCTTCGGGCGCTGCCGCCGCTTCCTGATGCTCGAGCAGGTCGCGTGACCTGATTACTGAACTGACAGATGGCTTCCTCTCTGCGCGCAGCTCCCGCCTCGTCGCGCGGGATCGCGTTGCCCTGGCACTTTCCCGTTGGCTGCCCGTCGTTGGCAGTTTGCTCGTCGGCGTCGGAAGCTCCCAGAGGCCCATCGGGCTTTTCGCTGTGGGGGCCTGCTCGCGGCCTGGTGCATGCGTTGTCAGTTAGTT